AAAGAGTTCTCTACCAAACACTTGCTTCCATAAACAGGACATACTTTATTTAGAAAGCTTCTTCTCCCTCCCATTAACTCAAATTATTAGCTGCATATTTTTACTAAGGAACACTGATTAGAAGTTCTTTTTTGAAAATAAACACATCGAATCACAATGGTAGAAAAACTAGAGCAACTTTTAATGAAATACTGAAAAAGTATTCTTTAGTATAGAAGTGTAACTTCTACACTTGTATCTACTCAAAATGGCAAAATATTTGCTGAATTCATAATGTTGCTGAAATTATGCAAGTTAAAGTAACTTTGTCCAGAAGAGTTATCAAATAAAGTTTTTCTATGAAAATAAACAACAATTTAGGATAAGGGCACTATAACTACATCACTTAATGACTACTGCTCTCTGTGTAAACAAGGAAAGTAGCCAAAGTGGACTTTTACCCTTATTTCAAAGCATGCAGTAGTTATTTTATCATATTAATTGAGTAAACAAGCAAAGGAAGCAGCCAATATAGTTGTAGCAGCTAAAGTTTAAACAGCAACTTAACAATACACATTTAGTTTCTTACACATTTCTTCTTTCTAATAACTTTTGGCTTCCTTGACCTCATGATAATAAATAAATTAGTGTCTAGTGACAAGCATATGTTTAAAGGCACAGCAGGTGCTGATGTCAGCAAAATCTTCCTCATGCTAAGTTTTGCCCTCCTACCTTTATTTTACCTTCAGTTGTTTACCATGATAACTACAGAATACACTTCTGAGATGTGATCCAACTCCTCTAAAAGGCAACATTCCCCAAACATGAGTGGCAAGTCTTTGGGTGCCAAATTTAACAGCCCAGGCTTCCCCTACTTCTACCGAATATCCTCAGGATGATTCAGGGCCCCTAAATTAGGCTACTAACCATCCCCCGCAGGAGAGTATTAGGAACTTGAGTTCTTAATTAGGCATTCCTACAATAGGTATCTAAAGTTTTATGATAAAAACAGCTTGATTATAAGTGTTGCACTGAATTCAATGTCTTTGGAAATAACTTCTCCAATGCCAATTGCCCAATGCTTTTTCCCCCTCATCTGCAAAGAGCTTTATAATCTCCAGCCCATACTTGCACTGCCACTGCATCACCTAAAAAATGAACCTCACAAGCCTCAGATTTTACCTCCAGCATCATAAACATAGTCAAACATGATAGATAACATTGTAAACTTTCAAGCTCACTTGACAACAGAGTATTTTTGAAAGACAGACTTGATTTTTGTCTATAGTGTGAATAAAAGAAAAACCAAGAGATTTATGAGGCAGCAATTGTCTGTTTTGGGCTACATTATGATGTGGTACAGAACATTAGGCTTTGCAACAAGATTAAATGTCTTTTATTTCTCTTCTGGCATTCCATACCCAATGGAGTATGGATAGCGAGCTTCAAGTTTTTATTTTTGCCATATAAGATCATTTGACTTTTTGCACTCCATTGTAGTATATATTTCATTTAATAAACCTTATAATTAAAAAAACCCTCATAGTCTATTCAAGGATTACAATTCAGAGGGGGTTCATTTAATTCCAATAGTTTTAACATCTGTGGTTTAAGTTGCAGAGAGCTTCAAAAGTAGCTATTGAAATAATACATTGTTTCATTTACAAAGGAAATTGGATGCCTAATGCATTTTGTGGTGCAATAATAATGAAGCTGTAGTATTTGAATAAAACAGCCCACGAGTAATACCAGGTGTTGGTCCTGTCTGAAAAAGTCTTTAGACTTTTCCTAGCCCAGTGTGGACCCATTATTCCATTGGGTTACACATTAGCATAGAGATCAGTGAAGTCCTCCCCACAGAGAGCCACATTTGGGGAGAACGGATATCTCATCTGTGCCTGAAAAGCTGAATGCATCGGGAGAAGTTCCTTTTTAATTTAACTGTTGGTGTGGACTGTTAGTGGAGAGCAGACTGGCCAGACAGGACTGATGACAGCATCATAAAGATCTGCATTCCCTTCCCTACTTGGCATACAGCTGCTGAAGCTGCTTAGAGCAGGGCATGGAACAAGGCTCACCAGAGACCTCCGACAGCTAATTTCTAGCCAGTGTTTCTAGCTGGTGTCATTCTTTTGACTTTGCTAGAGCAATTACAGTTTTAGTTCAGATAAAATAAAAATTATTATTATTTGGCATTTTATCCATGAGTATAGTAAGTGTACGGGGCACAAGCCAGTGTTTTGGAAAAGACAAACACATCAAAATTCAAAGCACTTGAGGAAGATGGTGGCTGTTATCAGCACAGTACTCACTGGACTGCACAGCTGGGAGTATGAAACATGTTTGAGTTTTGCTTTTCAAACGGTTTTGATTGGTCTGATCATTCTCTGTTTCAGAGGATCAGTCTCTTTATCTTACCAACTCCTTATTTGCTAAAATGATCTCATCCTGATAATCATGATGATAATTTTTTCTTTTGGGTATGTATTTATCTAGATCTAATTCAAACCTAGGAGGTGGAACTCCAAATGGTGTTACTGTGTTAACTGTAACAAGCAAAGCAGAAAATCTCAGGGTTTAATCTGCTCAAGAGAGAAACACTCTCAGAATAGAACCATGTCTTGAAAATATCTGTCTTGTGTTTGAGCATCTGTGTAAGCATGCAGGAGGTAATCTATACTGAGTTCAAGTTCATTACCACCTCACTGCAAGTTTTTTACATTGGAATTAAGTTGAGACTGAAATGAATTTTGTTATCCCTGTTGTGCTGTACCAAAGAAGATGCTTTGGTACAGCAGGAAGAATGATTGCCTTTGGGATAGAAAACATAAAAATTGAGATACATCTGTCACAAAAAGATTTTTAAGAAGTCAGCTAAGCCTACAAATACTTTTCTACACTCCAGGCTCGGCACTGTCTTGCCAGTGAATACCCTTGGTGTATAAGTAAGAAATTGTGTCTGATTTGAAAAATCAGCGCTCAAGTTTCTCTGAAAACCAAAAACAAGAACTTGATCACATCGTATGAAATGACCATATTTTCCTAGAGCTTCTATCACACCAAAATCTTCCTCTACAAACAAGGATTATCACATGAAGATAATACCTACAGGGCAACACAGGACATGAAAGTCTCAAGTGTTTTAAGTACCTTTTAATTGCCAATCAGAAACCACAGTGATGCAGAAATAAAGTACTCTAAAACCAGTTTCCTCTCTTGGAAAAATATTTGCAAAGTTTATAAGCCATTTAAAATAATTTGCTTCATTAAGTCATGTTATTAATCACCAATGTGACAAACTAAAATGTACCAATTCCTACATCTCTATATTTGCATATATGTGTGTGTGCATATTATATGCACTGTAACACAGACCGACATACTTGGGAAGCAAAGCTTTGATGTATGCAATGTTGCCTTGTCAAGCATCACCAAAAGGTAATTTCAATCCCCTTTAGCCATAAAAATATTTTACTGACTTTTGCTCTATTAGATTGAAATTGTGCAAATCATGGTCAGACAGACAATAACCACAGTCACAACACAGTATTCTAATTCTTCTGTAGAGCAAACACAGCATGAAACATAAAGCTGTATTCACACTAAGGGTTTAATGGAATTGTGGATGCTTCATCCCTGGAAGTGTTCAAGGCCAGGTTGGATGGGGCTTGGAGCAACCTGGTCTAGTGGAAGACGTCCCCACCCATGGCAGGGGATTGGAATGAAGTGATTGTTAAGGTACTTTCTAACTCAAGCCATTCCATGATTCCATGAAGTACTGTACTTTTCCCTCCGAGAAAGAGCAGAAGGATGGGAGCTGCTGCAAGAGCACGACAGTATTTACAGAATGCAGCAATGCAGCTTAATGGGGGAAAAACAATCCTACAGAAGCAAAAGCAAAATACCTCTGCCTGGCAGCACATTTTGGGCTGCTTCCAGGGCACAAGAGAGAAATGCAACAGCATCATAGTGGTCTGATATATGCCAACTTACTTTAAAAATAAATTCAAAAAGCCTCTTCACATGGCAAATGAATGTCAAACTAAGTTTAAAGTGATTGTCTACAAATTTGCTGATAATACCATTGTGGTAGCACATTTTTATAGAGAAAGGTGACATAGGGAGCAGCTTTCTCCCTGAGGTGACCACGCAGCAGGAAAGCAAGAGAGGACTTTATTCAGGATCATGTTGAGGGAAGACTATCCGTCAACACTCAGAAGCTTACACACCAGTTCAGCAATGTCCAGAAGGCAGAGAGCCTTGAATTGTGCAGCCAGCATTGCTGCACTTGCTATGTCAGCATGAACACAAGTAGCAAAAAGGAGTGTGAAAAGAGAATTAGTAATATGCAGAATAGTGAATGTCAGTAAGGGAATGAACATTATTTACAAGCTTTGCTATTGCACATTCAAATACAGCAACAGGACTCTTATTTAAAGCAAAACAGTCTATGAGAAGAGGCCCTTTGAAAGAAAAAGTAGATTCAAATTTAATTTCGAACAAAGGAAGGACTATGAGGTCATAAGGGACTTGGCACCTCTATACTAGTTTTCTCATGCTTTAAAATTGAAAGAGATACAAGTGTATTTCTTTCTCTCACCCTTTGCTTGTCAATTACAAGCTTTTTAAGTAAAAAAACATTTGACTTAAAAAAGTACAAATGGAATAAATATTTGAACCAGTTATAACTAATATTATCAAAGCAGTCTCTTGTGCATTTTCAGAATCATTTAATGGATCTTTGAGAATGGGATATTGTTGTAGCTGCTTGCCTCTGCGTGATGCTACTTTGATCACTTCAAAACCAACCAATAATGCCTCTGCCACAGTGCCAGTTTAGCCATTTTTATTTGCTTTCCTGAGGCTTTCAATGTAACAGCCATTTAGCAGAAATAAACTTAGAACAGAGACCATGCCAGTCTTGGTTAAACTACATGAGCTAAAACCCAAAAGAAACAAAACTAAAAACATGAAAAACATTCCACAAAAAACTACTCTGGACCCTCACATACTCTACTTACCACACCACCACAAGGCAGGTTGCTGGAAGTTGCAATCCTTTCTGAGCTGATTACTTGGTATTCTGTAGGTGCTCTGCTGTCACCAGTTATGAAAGAGTTATAAAGGGATTTAAATTAAAGAATCACCAACTTCGTAATGATTTTTGCAAAACAAATATAAAACCCACCATTATTTTGACAGCAATTATATATTTTCATCAGACCTGTCAGTTCACCCAACAAACTACTAACCAGATGATCCTACAACAGGGTTTTATAAAATATACATGACTGTGTGATCAGATTACACCTTAGACTTTTCAGTGTTTTAGTAATCTAAACAAGTTTCTCAAATCTGAAAAATGCTGACTGGAGTGGGGCTGAAGAGTAAATATATATATTTTTTAAAGTCAGGTGTATCTCACTGATCTACTGCTGATAATAACTAGCTGATGCCTTTTTAGCCTGTCTTTCTCTAGAAGCAAAGGGTACATGCTAGCTCTTGGTGTGAGGGGAAGGAACAGGAATCCGTGCATTCCCTCTTTGGGCACAGGGACTGAGTTCAGTTAAATTGAAATGTGGGATAAGAAGGCTCAAACATTACAATGTTCTCACTAGTGTAAGGAAATAAGCAGTCAAGGGGAGGCTGTAGCATGAAATTAGCTGATGATATGTCATGAAACCCATATGATGAATGAGAGGGGCAGAAAAGGAAGATTTCTTATATATGTACTACACAATAATTTCAAAGAACAATAAGTGAAGTTCCTGAGTACCACATGCAGAGGCATTGTCTGCCTCAGTAAGAAGTAACCTAACAAAGAGGCTGGTTCATATACCAAAGTATGTCATCCCTCAACATAAGAGAGAGGAAACAGTGATTCCCTTCCCACGCTCTGATCTCCCTGGTCTAAGGGACTTCAAATCTTGGCTAAGCCTTGCCTGGAATCAAAAGATTCTGCAGTGGTAGAAACTTGCTCTGGCACCTTCCTGGAGCATTAGGAGCGTCTCCAACAGAGGAGAAAAGCCAGGTGCTTTTCCCACTGCTGGAAGACAATACACACATGGCAACATCCAGGCTGGGGAGAGGAGACAAGCTGGCAGGGAAGTAAACCTAGACCAGGGCACAAGAACAGCACTGCAGATGCACAGCCAAAGCAGTGCCCAGCGATTTTGGCATTAGGGGTATGCTTAGAACCACAGTACAACTGCAGCACCACTAAGTCCCAAGGCTGAAGAAACTACTTTAACTGTTCTAGCATTAGGAGTCAACTGTGGAGCTGGCTGTGCACTTTGGGAGGACTCCAACATTTCCTTTGCATTAACTTCATTATAAACACGTGCTTCCTATTCACACAAATTATAGGAGAGACTTCTGCTATTAAGAATGCAAGTTCCCAAAATTATCTCCCAGCTCCATTACTGGGTTTAGTTCCAACTGACTGCAGATAACATCACGGAAGTAGGAAATACTTAATAGGTACATAATAATCCAAATGGAAACTCCTCTGGTCCACTGCAAACAGCTACCAGGACTTGTACTGCAGGTAAACACTGAGAAAGAACTTGTTGCTGCCAGCTATTCCAGTGAAAGGTCACCAGTGGCTGCTGTAATAATAAGGACACACTTATGAAATGTCACTCACCAAACCAGAGCTGCCACAGAAAGCAACAGAAAGCAAGAAGTAGAAACTACTACTAAAACTAACTCCCTCAGCTAAGCTGAGAAAGGCCACTGTCAAAAGAGTTTCTATAAAAATACCACACACCAAGATGTTACTGCAAGAGAGTAAGAAACAGGGAAATGCTTATTGGAAAAAGAAAACAGCAGCAGACTGAAGGGAGAAAACCCCCATACATTGAAGACAGTTCCTCAAATTATGGTTATAAAATAGGAGGGGTGTGACGATGACACACAATTACATCTCTCCTTTTATTTTGGTATCCAGTATGATTTTAGATTCCTTCCCTAAAGAACCTGAGATAATAGAAAATTTCAGATCCAGTGTCTGAAATTGAATAGGACCCTAACTACTTGAAAGCACAATTGTATAACATAATGTGCCAGGTTGCCTTATGAATGCATAATAATAATAATAAATGGAGAAAGATAATATGGAGATTGAATGCTGGATTCTCTCATGTCATGTTCATAATAAGCACTAGGCCAGTCCCTGGAGATGGTGGCTGGCCCTGAGTCAGCACAGCATCGCAAGGGATGGAACTTATGAAAAAAAACTGAAACCAGGGTGCTGGACAAGAAGAGATAATTATCCAAGCCAGGGAGCATTCCTACAAAAAGAAACTAAGTTTATGAAGGGACCAAGGGAGTCTAAAATGAGAGAAAGATAAACCTAGAAGTGTCTGTTACCTGCTTCTTTCACAAGCCAGCCAGAGCTGTAGCCTGACACTCCATCATCTTTCTCCTGAACGAATGCAGAATCTTCTATTACAAAACGACCTTTTTTGGAAGAGCAGCTGGTTGCTTCTTTGTGTGCCCCCTCCAACCTTTGGACAGTCTGTAGGATGCTGGGACTGCAGACAGGAAGTTATGAGCCCTCCCTGTCCAAGTTATATTACTCTGAGATGAACACTGTTTTAGAGGCCAAGAACTTCTTGTAGAGATTCCATTTTTGACAGCTTTAACTAGCTATTGTATGCTACTACTGCCCTCTTACTCTCATTTCCTGCTTCTTTCTTATCTAGATTTTAGACTTGGCAGTGTTGTTCTTCCTGAGATTTAACTGAACATGGCCAAAGCCATGGTAATTCAGCTGTAGGACTTGGATTTTCAACAGATAATAAGCATGCATACAGGAATTTCCCACACTCTTCCAGGAAATCTTAATTAAAGTGAAATATAACAGGAAGAAAACTGGTACTACTCAGTCTGTTGATTATAATACATCTGGTTGTTGATTTGTGCTAAGACCTAGTTTTTCATGGAAGCTCTAAATAAGCAATAAAGCACTAAATGAATGAGAAAATTAATGAAGTTTTCTATAAACAACTAGAAGAATCTCAAAAGTGAACACCAAACAATATTTTACAATAATCTAACTACTTGCATGCTAGTCTAACCATGACAGGTGAAATCCAGAACTACGGGCCTGCAATATATGTATGGCAAAAGTGACAGAAACACTTTCCATTGGAAGAGGTTTTTAGGAAGCTTTTTCCTTTTTTTTTTTTTTGTTTTTGTTTTGTAATTAATCAAATGCAGTGCTAAAATTAACTTTTGCGCTATTAAGCATCCAAACACAGACTGTGGCACTAAATGGGAAAGGAAATTTATCAGATAAATTTTTTTCATTGGGCTGGTTTTAAAAACTAAGTGACCATAGAGTGCACATGGTAATTAATTTCATATATTTCTCACTGTCTATACTGAATAATTAAAATATTCACAGAGAGCAAAGACAAAGCTCAGTTCTCTGTACTTTCATTCGGATCAAGATATGACAAATACAACTTTGGGCTACTTAACAGATTGTTTACCTCATCAATATCTCAGTGAGAAATAAAAAGTTCAAATCAGAGCTGAATACTCAGAATAGGGCATGTTTTTGATTGGAATTCCATTGACTGAGTTCTTCTTTGGAGAACTCTGGCACACACAACCTGAAGCCAAAGGGAAAAGGAGCCCTTCAGCAAAAAGATCACAGGGAATCAAGGGCTGCTTCTTGTCACAAAGCTGAAACCTAAATTGCCTAAAATTTTCTTTTTCAACTGAAAATGAACTTATTTTAATATACAGTAAAATACTGTATACGGCAATTGATATATTAGTATGTATTCCTATTATATAAAATTTACTGTCAAGTTCTGAGTCCTCTTGAAGAGCTCACCTTCCCTAAGTAGTCACTGAAGAAGGAGCATTTCAAGGACTGACTCCCCAAACACCGATGTCAAAATTTAGAGACAATACAGATTTCTATTGGCTCTACCTTCCCCTCATGCACTGACAAAAAACCAAAGCATTATTTCAGAATTCTTGCTTACTGCCTGCTACATCGATGTAGACTGAGTCATTTCCCTAAATATTCTTTGTAAAGAGTGGCAAAGGTTTTCAGTGTTTTCCCTTGAACACCCTTTCCTCCCAAGTGATTGGCCCAAGAATATTATCACAAGTTCCAGGGGAAAGGTAATTATAAGTAAGGCTACACAATGCTTTCCATTTAGAGTCTACTCATAATTGTTAGCTCATTTTGAATGGCAAAATTCAAACTTACAATGTCATTTAGAGAAGAAAAAAATACAGCTTCCCCCCCCCCCCATTTTTTTGAGAGAATTACTAGTACCCCCATGCTGAAGAACAGGGTTTGATATTCTGCACCAAGATAATAAAGATGTGAGAGATGCAACTATCAAGAGCATGCTCCTGCAAGACTTTCAAATCTCTTCCTAACAAAGCCTTTTTAAAATTCAGCAGGTACATACTTTGAGGATTCAACATATGCCAGGTCAAGGAGCTGGATAAGGCTTTTCCTTGCTATTCTTTTCCCTTGCAGAGGATAACTACTATAACATGAAGCCAAAACCATGAGGCAGGGGATTGGCTCTGCTGTTCTCTCTGTGCTGTGACTGAGGCCAGAGCCCAAACTCTGAACAGGAGAAGAAAGAGGCAGCCATACATGCAGAGGAGAAAGGAGGGAAATATTCAAGCAAAAGTGTAGTAAAAAAGAGGAAGATGAAAAAGATCATGTGAGAGAGTTTTTGGGACTCTGACTAGGGTGTTGATCAGAAAGAAGTCTGAAAACAGCACTTAGGAAGAATTTGGAGAAATGAGGTCCAGGAGAACGAAACTTCTGCAGTCAGCTAGAGAACATGAACTCAAACATCTGACCCAGTGAAGCAGACAAAATTGGTTCATATAGTGTGAGGCTATATTACAAAACAACTGCCAATTATACTGCCTAGTTTGTCTATGTAATACATCTGAACCTCAGGACCTTCCAGAGTGCAAATAAAGTGTGCATGTGTTACCTTTCTTTTATTTTTTTTCCTTGGTTTAAGTCTTTACAATCTGAGACTCACTTTAAAGATACATTGTAAAGTTAAATTCTGTGAAATTCAAAAGTTACATTAGAAAAG